CGTGACCAGTGCCCTTTTCCTCCACATTTATAGCATGCATTTTCTGCATTTGGCGCTTGCACCACTTCATACTTTTGTTCCTTCCTTTTCCACTGCTGGTGGTGGGGAGGTTTCTTTGGTGCATTATTATTACGATGATTAGAGTTTCTTCCCCGACCACGACCATGACCACGACTGGGGCCACGACCTCTTCCACGTTTAGCTTGGTGGAAGTTCGTCTCATTCACTTCAGGGAATGGACAAGAACCAATAGGTCGGCTTTCATGATTTTTCATTAATAGTCCATTATGTTGCTCTGCTATAAGAAGATGTGAGATAAGTTCAGAATACTTTTTAAATCCCATCTCTCGATATTGCTGCTGCAGGAGCATATTCGAGGCATGAAAAGTGGTGAAAGTTTTCTATAACATATTATGATCTGTAATATTATCACCACATAATTTCAATTGGGAAATAATTCTGAACATAGCAGAATTATACTCACTGATAGATTTAAAATCTTGTAGCCTTAGATGAGTCCAATCATAACGTGCCTGTGGAAGAACGACCATCTTCAGGTGGTCATATCTATCTTTCAAATTATTCCACAGTATGACTGGATCTTTAATAGTGAGATATTCCATTTTCAGGCCTTCGTCAAGGTGATGGCGTAGGAATATCATTGCTTTGGCACAGGAATATCATTGCTTTGGCACGGTCTTGGTTTGATGCCTGATTTTTATCCTTGATGGTGTCTGCCAGACCCATCGCATCAAGATGAATTTCAGCATCAAGCACCCAAGACATGTAGCTTTTGCTCGATATATCCAGGGCTACAAATTCAAGTTTAGAAAGATTTGACATTATTTAGGAAAAGAAAGTTCTTACCTCAGATACTTTCAAAATATTTGCTCGAGATGGTAGAGCTTCGTGCTGATAACGTGTTATAAAATAAAGACTATAAAGTAAAGACAAGTATAGAGAGAAACTGATATATTATTCGAATTCAAACTGATGTACATAATGAACTGAAATCTCTTCTATTTATAGAAGAAAGGAAGCTGCTGTGTAAGCTGCTACTATACCAGATATGGATAATCTTCTACTGAGAGCAATGTTTATCCATAACGGAGTACTGAAAGGATAAGCTTATTATACCCGATATGGATAATCTTCTACCGGGGGTAATGTTTATCCATAACTGGGTACTGAAAGGGTAAGCTTATTATACCCGATATGGATAATCTTCTACCGGGGGTAATATTTATCCATAGCCGGCTACTAAAGTGATAAGCTTCTTCAGGAAGCTTATTTCCAATAGAGTACTAAATAGATAAACATATTTACGGTGGAGTCTCATATGGATAAGCTTCTTCAAGAAACTTATTTACAACGGAGGACTAAATGAACATCCATAGTATAATATATTTATAACAGGTCCTAATTTGTCGAGGGGGCTGGGGAGTGGTTTGAAGTCTTTATCAGTCCAAAAAACAAGACCAACGTCAACGGTACAAAATATTGGGGAGCCAAAAAGACAGTTATTTAGTAAGCGTTTGGACATAAAAAAATTGTGAGATTTGAAAAAATATTAGTTTTTGAAGTTAAGTTGAATAAAGTATTTAAAATTAAAATTATGCGTGGATATGCATTTTACTTGAAAAAATATTATAATTTTGTGAGAGCTTGAAAAAGAGGTAAAACTCACATTTTCAAATTTGAATCTCATCTTCAAAAATTCAGTTAAATATATAACCAAACAATATTTTGAAGATGAGTTTCAGAAAAAACGGAAAAAATTATATGGGCAAACGGGTCCTTAGTCTTTCAGTAAATGATTTAGTAGTGTAAAACAAAATTAACAATTTGTGTGTGTAAAGTTTAAAATCTAACAATAATAGCGAAGCAAGGTCATACTTTTTGGTTACAGTCGGAAAAAGAAAATATTATACTGATTTTTTCCTCATAACAGAAAGTCTGGAGTTTGAAGAAATTTACCCACTAACCATATCATCCATTTTCAGCTGAACACCTAATTATGATTGAGTCTTCTGATTTTGCATGCTCTGACCCCTCACATCCATTTTCAGCTGAACACCATATTTGTTTCTATTTAGTTTGAATTTCAAAAATAAATCCAAAGTTAATCATTGGAATCATTAATATGTTATACTTTTACTTTAATCCGTTTAAATTATTTAAATCAATTTTTTAATTCTATACCTTTTTCCCCATGCATACCGATTATTCAATAAACTAAATTTTGCATTTAAATGTAGTTTGTTAAAGAAGAGTAAATTACCCTAAATCCCTATAATATTATTTTAAATTCAGCTGCAATTACAATTCTTTTATTTTAAAATCAAGCATTTACCTCCTATGTTAATTAAAGCAAGTGCTCTTGTTCAAACGGTTAATGAATTTCTAGAATTAATATCAAGATTCTCTAGGGGTGCACTCAACTTTCACCTAGTAAAAATAAATAAATCAATGGTTGGAAAAGAAAATAAATTTTAGCATAGTATAATCTCAACACAGTATACAATTTCAACATACTATGGGTTTTTGTCATGCCAATTACCATAACTAATCAAGTATATCACCTCCCTATTTTAAACACTTTACCACGCTGTGATACATCTCCAGGCACTTTATCATTAGAAAAGATGGGAACTTGGCTTGCATCTCTGCCTTCACAAGGCAGGGGTAAAGCTGCGTACACACTACCCTCCTCGGATCCCACTTGTGAGATTATACTGAGTTTGTTGTTGTTGTTGGGAACTTGGCTTGCATCGTTGCAGTTTGATGGGTCACTCTGCTCTTGCTCGTTACAAACAAGGTCGACGCCAAGTTCCTTTACCTTCAGGCTATTCAGACTAACTAAAATAGAAATATCATCTCCATCTTCTAGCAGGTCTCCAAATTTCCAGTGACTTAACCATGTTATTTCTTCATTACCTTCTGGCACGCCGAAAACTCTTGGAATGTGGATCCACTTCAAATCTTTAGTCCTATTGTGTACGATATTCTGGTGATGGCACCAGTTGGCTCTGCTACCCTCTCTAGACTCCACTTGTGGGATTGCACTGGGTTTTTTGTTGTTGTTGTTGCACCAGTAGGCTCTTGGGAGCTTGGCCTCTTGACTTTCAGAACTTGTATACACAATGGCTATGGATAGGCCTTGGATATTGTTGAGAGGTTGAGATATGGTAAAACTTACTGAATTCGCATTTTTTAACTTTGGGAACCAGCTAGGTACTTTGTTTCCCGGAAGAAATGTACTAAAGATTCCTTGCTCGTATAAGCCCTGTTCCAGTCACAGAAATCAACGGTTAAGGATCAACTGTAAACACAGATGAGGTAGTCATAGGGAGAGCGAGAGGCAAGAACCTGCAATGGAAGCATTCTCATCTTGTAACTCGAAAAAAGGTCCATTTTCACCATAGTATTTTCCATAGTGTCAACATTCAGACCAAAACGTTTAAGCATCTGTGGGTCAGCAATTTCTAGAGCTTCTAACTTAAATTTCCCCTGCATCATGACTAGATTGTCACAATTGTAATCGTGACTCAGGATTGGATATTTCGATAGCAATGATTGGTATGTCATCATCTCCAAGGACGAGCAACTATCTATGTACAGTTCTGAAATGCTAATTGGCATCTCAGTAAGTGATTTGAGTATCTTACATGACTTGACACTGAGGCTTTGGAGCTGAGGCAGACTCTTGACCCACTCCGGGAGGCAGCTAATTGAATTTTCACTTAGATCCAGTTCTTGGAGCAGCGGAAGATTGATAAACTTCTGGGGAATATATTCATCAGACAGCCTGCAACTCACAAGACTCAAGCTCACCAAAGAGCTTGGTAAAAAGGCCCACGATATTTCAGGAGTGTTTCTTGGCTTTGATACCCAAGATGAAAATAATGCCTGCAATGATTTCCGCTCGTGGGTGGTACAGAGTATTTGGTTTAGATCAATTCCATCAGCTCTTAGAACTTTCAAAGAATCTATCATGTTAAGCTCCATTGGCAGCCACTCCAGGCTTGAGCAGAAGGATATATCAAGTATCTTAAGAGTTATAAGTTCACCGATATTTCTTGGCAGCTTTCTGATGCTCTTGCAGTCTTTCAGATTTAGCAGGGTGATTTCTTGGAGGCAGCCGATAGTTTCATCGATATCAACCAGTTTAATACAATCTTTAAGAATTAGTTTCTCAAGTCGGGCCATTCCAGCGAAGCTAGGTGTTCTGGTAAGTTCCCAAGAATGACTAAGGTTGAGAATCCTGAGAAATCTGAAATACTGATTGAAGAAAAGCATTGAATCAATTTCTTTTTCTGAATTTACTATCTTCATTAAGCCAGGAAAACTACTGAAAGAGAGAGAAAAAAAAAAAAAGATGATTTATACCTCAGTTTCACTCCATGTTTGTTGTAAATTGCTGTACCGCATGTCAATAGAAACAAGGTTTTCCCAGGAAAGGTCACTAGGTAAGGATTTTAAAGGGCATTTACGCCAAGACAACAATTTTAATCTCTTGGGAAATTCTTTATAGCATCCAATGAGGTTTACATCATTTAGTTTGAGTACCCTTAGGTTTCGCATTATCGTAAATGCATCAGTTTCTATGCTGTAGTTTGAGTTTCGTGATGAAGTGTCTCCTGAATTCCATGAATAAAAGACAGAAGAAGGCTGTTGCAGCGAAAGATTATGATCTGCACAGTTCTCTACATGATCTTTTCGGAAGCGCCTTTTCGAGCTATTTCCAGTGAAAAATTGTTTGGCTGATTTATCCTCCATCAACATAGGCATGTCAAAGCTGATCCCTTCAATCCTTTCAGTGCCCTAACAGGAATTTTGGAAAGAAAAAAATAAATTGTGAGGGTATGGCAAGGACAATGAAGGATAGAACACACATATTAAATGTCTTACAGTTTTATCGTTCAACACTCTGAAAGAATCCTTGTTATTCCAAAGTCTACTGCGTTTTCCAGGATCCTGTGATTCCCTACGATCGATATCTCTCCCAAGGTCTCGAAGCAACTGATGCATCTCCAACTTATTTAAGTCATTGATTGTCAAAAGACTTCTATCAATGAGGTTTTGCATCCCAATTATTGTGTAAAAACCACATCCATTCAGTATTCTGACAGAGTCGTCTCTGTCCATCCCAAGAAAGAAAAGAGCTATATGAAGGAATATATCTTTGTCATGGTCATCTTCTAGAGAGTAAAAACTCACTTTAAGTTTTTCAATGACATGACCATCAGGGATTGTTTCCAGCTTTTCTAATGCACTTCCCCATATTTCTGGTCTTCTACCCGACAGAGCTGAACCTAAAACACGAAGAGCTAAAGGAAGTCCTGCACATTGAAGAACCACCCGTTTTGAGAGCTCGACATAACCTTCCAAAGGATGGTCTTCTCCGAAGGCATGCCAGCTGAACAGCTTTAGGGAATCCATTTTATTCAAGGCTTCTACTTTAAGCACCTTGTGAGGTACAAAAGGCTTTAGCAAGGACTCATGCCTCGTTGTTATAATGATTTTACTAGCAGGATTAAGCCAATCTCTCATTCCTAAAATTTTATCTATCTGGTCAACTTCATCAACATCATCAAGAACAAGAAGAATTTGTTCATAGCGTAGGGCATCTTCAATCATCATAATTCCTTCATCAGCATTGGATATCCTCTCTTTTTTTCCAACTATATCATACAAAACTTGCTTCTGCAGACGAACTAGACCATTACATTGTTTTGCAGTTTCATTGATGTTTGCAAGAAAGCTGCTTCCTTCAAATGATCTTGCACTTGAGTTATAGGCAAATTTGGCAAGGGTTGTCTTCCCAATTCCACCAATCCCGCAGATCACATATAGCCCTACATTAGTTGATCTATCTTGTAGCCACAAGATAATATCTTCAGCCCGATAACTGATTTCGATGAGGTAAGGAGCATTGTTTAAGGCTCTGGGACGTAGCTTGCTTGCAATTACTTCAACTATATTCTCAATGAACTTTGCCTCATATCTACAAGTTCCGATTAAAATGTGAAGGCCATTAAGATCTGAATTGAAGAGCTAAAAAACATAGGGTGATAAGCAATAGAAATATGTTATAGAGAAGTACTCTATAAAATTGAAAAAAGATAAATACTCAAATACAGACAGATGAAGTTTACGATCTTCAGGATTACAAAGACCTAAAGACTTTTTAATCTAATCATATGAAGGGGCACTAGAAGGGCTCAGAGCTTCTGTATTTCAACAACATACTGATGCCACCAGCCATGAGTTCTGCAGAACAACATTTTAGCTATTGGTCCACTTTTTCCTTTTTGTCAAGTCCTATGATCAGCATAATGAAACGTGAGAAAAAAAGGAAACTTTTACTGAACTGGTGGTAAAAAACATTACAGAGGTCATGATAAAGAAGTGTTTAAGCGCATGAAATAAGGAGATTTTTCTAATTACCTAGACACCTAATATCTCAATTATAAAGGATTTTATATGTTATAATCAACATATTTAACCTAGATGTATATAAATAATTTCATTCTAACATTGATTCTCAAGTTGGGGAGCATAGATCACATGTTCCAAGATTGCCACCCTTACTAAATCAGGATAAAAACTTACCCGCACCGGCAGAGGCTGATCAAAGATTCGAACTTTATGGGTTTAAATTCAGAACTTTACCACACCGTGTCTAATTTACTCGGTTCAAACTCTAATTTTTACACTTATTTAGTTAAAATTTTAACACATATACAGAGCCTAAGCCGAAGCTACTCGGTGCGCACCAGGCGTTTACACCAAATCAATAGAAACATGTACACCTGTTTGCACATTCACTTCTATCACTTAACCATGATTAATTAATGCCTATTTTAAGTTAGAATTGGTTTGGGGCAAACATTTACCATGAATCAGACGGAATAAACCGAAAAAAGTCAAATTAAAATTTAGAATACCTAAAAACAACTAATGAACTTTTATATGTTCAACTTTTCTTGGTTAATTTTGATAAAATTATAGACTTTAGTACAAAAGATAAAATCTTGACCGCTTGCAAGAGGCATGTAATGGAGAATCAAAGATATTATTTGTAACAGAAATTGAGGGGAAATAGTTACCCATCAGCTTGATTTTGCAAGGGCATCCCTCCCAAATCTGCAACTTGTTTGAGAGCATTTCTCCAATCTCTTAACTTTTGACTCTCTCCATTTGCAGAAAAAGGCTGACCAAAACTTCCCTTTAGCTTCCTAACATCAGAAGGATCCACGTTAAAAAAGACAGGCAAAACTATGTGCCCAAAATTCCTCTTTTGCTCCAAAATCACGACCAGCTCATCAAGACACTTTTCAGATGATGCATAATTTTGGGACAATACAATCACTGACATCTTCGATTGCTCTATTCCCTTTTGCAATTTTGACTTCAAGTCCTCTTTTTCACCGTCATAATCATCGTTATCACATTTGAATACATGAAACCCAGCTCGCACCAAATTTCTGTGGAGATGATCAGTGAAAGTCTTGCCAGTGTCTTTTGCTCTGAAACTCAAGAACACATGATATGAACATTGAGAAGTAGGAGGCGACGAAGGTATACCTTGCTCCATACCCTATTCAACAAAGCTCTAGCTACATAAAACAATTAAAGGCAGGAATATTTTCTTAATTAAGGAGCCATCTAGTTCCAACTTTGGCAATCTGAGTGAATAAAAAGTGAAAGCAGTTGTTAGAAAATGACAACTTTATGGATTGACTGTAATATTTTTTTTTTCCTCGAGCTGACATGATAAAATATTTTAGCTTTTTGTAAGTACAATTGTTCTAGCAAGAGGTTTGGTTCATTTTTGGTCATCCTATCTATTTCTCTGTGATTTGATGGGGTGAAATTCAAAAATAGCGAAATTAACCGGCGGTAATTGAAAATTAGCCACAATTTCAAAAGTAATCAAAATTTAGTTACTTTTTATGTTATTTATCGTGAAAATGATAATAACAATTAAATTTGATTTAGTGGTTCTAAAAATACGTGATCTATTTTTATGCTAGTTGTTAGGCAGTTGATGTTACGTGAAAGACTTGGAAACAAGATAAGAGAGCTTAAAGACAAGATGTTAACCAAACCGAGTTGCTGCCAATCAAGGCCTCGAGCTTGCCTATTCGAGGGCCTCGGGATCGAGTCTGAAGTTCGGCTGGGAGCTATCGAAGACGGTCTATGGTGACTAACAGTTATTAATAATCAAAGACGGCTCTTTATGGCCAATAATAACCAATAAATGATGAGCTTTTAGTAGAACACAATAAATATGGGCAATAAATGAGACAACGGAACCAAGGGAAAATGTTAGAGAGCAGAGAAAATGTTCTTGTATATTTAGTATGGAGCAACAGAAGTTTACAAAATGACAAAGATCCCTTTTATATAAGAGGGGGAATTCCAACATAGTACAAGTGCATTTATTACAAAGATATGGAGATGGGACATCTAGTTAATGCCACGATACGGGCTCAGACTAGCCTGACAGATTTTGTCGGCTCTAGCTTCACGCCTTGGGAACTCCCCATTTTCTTCCCGTAACCATCGGTCTTATACTGTCCCGAGGTCGACGTCGATGGCCCCCGAGGAATAAAAATCGACCGTGATTTCGAGCCTTCGAGGCGTCATAACGATGGAAAATTGAGCCCTCTGATTTTACCGTATACAGATAGTCCCCACGTTTCTTAGAGTAGAATGACAAAAAACGACCTTGATAACCATCTTTCCGAATTTTCCGCGATAATGTTATACTAATGATGTCATGACATAGGATTTTGTAGCAACCGAGGCATCCCACTAGCTTGTCTTTTTAGTGTCTTTCAATGCACAGTCGATCCTCGTCCTTCTACGCGATAGCTCCGCCGCCGATTCAGTTCCCAAAATGCATTAATTGTGCATGTCGATACGTCTTTCAAGGACATTGATGGCGTTGTCGGTTGCGTTTTTCAAAAGAGCATTGATTGTACCCGTCGGTTACTCTGCCCTCTCTCTATAAATGGGGGCTTTTTGGAACCAACTCCTTATTCAAGTGTCCTTCAATCAACCTTTCTCCCATTTCTTCTCTCGATCCTCATCCACTATCGTTTCCCATGTCTGAGGCCCATGGCCTCAAAGTTGCCTGGTGGCGTTCTCATCAGTTATACAATGGCCTTTTTCTGGGCCCCTCCTTATCGAGCGAGATTATACCAACTTTTTGTTGTTGTTGTTGTTGTTGTTGTCGTTACTGCTATCGCCGTTGGCTCGAAACGAGGAGATAGGGAGGCCGATCTCTTTCGTCTTGGGAAGATATTTGGACTATACACCGCTGCTTACGAGGGTGTTCGAACCATACACCGCTGCTCACCTTCCTACCCCGACCTGGAGTGGCACTTCACCCCTTTTGCTTTCTATGGGGTGAAGTGGTACCTTTGGCTGGTAGCTTGCACAACTCAATGTACCAAGAAGTGGACTCAAAGTAGCTGTGCAAGTGAGGCCGACCCCCGCCAAGTCTTCTACCGGGATGTGATCTTCCTGGCCTGGTGAAAGCCTTTGCTCTTTGGCGGGCTATGGCATTTTTTCATCCCTTTTTGCCTCTTCACTTTCCTCTTCTTCATCTTCCCAGTTTCCTCTTCTTCATCTTCTCCCTTGGAGATACCATTTTGGAGGGCCGAGATGAGACCCCCGAGGGGGTGGCGGTCGAAGGCACTGCCGCTGAGGATGCATACCCGAGGGGATGGCGATCGAAGATACTGCCGCCGAGGGTGAACCCTCGAGAATAGATTAGACTCTGAGCTTTTCTTGCATATGTACCTTTTTTGCTTTTTTGTTTCTGTGTAAGGACCCCTCGTGGGCTTTTGTAATCGAATGTTTATGAATGAAAAATATTTCTTTAATTTGTCTCTGATGCATACTATTTTCCCTTTATCTATGCTTGTGTAGAATCTAAGTGCATTACCCCATCAGTTGGTGCAAATATCGAGCCCGGGTTGGACTGATAAACTCGGGTCATCGGGACCCTGACTTCGAGTTGAATGAGATTAGGGCTTCGAACCCCCAAATCGAGACTTAGCCTCTAGACCCTACGATAATCTTCGAGGGGGGATTCGCTCGGAAGCTCGAGAATGGAGACTGCCTTTAGGCTTTCGAGAATAGTCCCCGAGTGGGGGTTCGCTCGGGCTGTATGGAAACCTTTCTTGAACTTACTGTAGATAGCCTTAAGGCGTTGTAGATAGATCCTAGATGAGGGACTGCCGGGTTTAGATGGTACCCCGAGGCCAAGCCCATATAAGTAGAGTTTTAAGTGTTTATTTTCTCCTTGAGAGGAGCCTCCAAAACTGGGTACCATCCCCAGTCTTGTAATGACATGGATGGCCCCATGGAGAGATCCCCGAGATTGGGTACCATTTCGGGACTGGCGATGATACCAAAGGCTTCCTGGAGCCTAACTTCTTTTTGATAGGGGTCCTCCAGATCGGGTACCTATGACGACTCGACCAGTTGTCTCATGAGTTACCACTTCGTTTTCCCATTTTTACTTCTTTATGCTTTGTTTATCCGTGTTTTGTAGTATTGGGTTGGTCGGATCGAGTTCAGAAAGGATTTGGCAAGGTTTGAGACACTTAGTCTCTTCAGAGTGAGTTTAAATTGGAAAAGTCAATCGGATATTGATTTATGTGCTAGAGGATTTGGATGTGAGTTCTGATGGTTTGATTAGCTTCGGGAGGTGATTTGTGGCTTAGGAGCGTGATCGGAATGAGTTTTGGAGGTTCGGAGTAGATTTAGGCTTGAATTGGCGAAGTTGATATTTTGGCGATTTCTGGTCGGTAGGCAAGATTTTGATATAGGGGTCGGAATGGAATTCTGAGAGTTGCAGTAGTTCTGGTGTGTGATTTGGGATATGTGTGCAAAATTTTAGGTCATTCAGACGTGATTTGGTTGGGTTTTTGATCGAAAGCGTAATTTGGAAGATTTTAGAAAGTTTGGCTTGAATCTGATGTGTTTTGGGTGATTTAATGTTGTTTGAGGTGTTTTGGTGATTGGAATAAGTTTGAATAAGGTATTGGGATATGTTTGTGCTTTTGGTTGAGGTCCCGGGGGCCTCGGGGTGATTTCAGATGGTTAACGAGAAGTTTGGATTGTTGTTGCAGCTGCTGAATTACTGCTTCTGGTATTTCCGCACCTGCGAAATGGGGACCGTAGGTGTGGCGTCGCATATGCGTGAGAGGGGTCACTATATTTGACTGGGACTTGAAAACTTAGGTCTTTAATTGTGGATTTGAAGGACCATTTGGGGTCGGATTTGAGAACTTTTGATATGTATGAACTTGTGTGGAGATAAGGAATATATTGATGTAAAAATTAATGAATTTCAAGACGTGGGCCGGGGGGTCGGGTTTTGGTAATTTCGGGATTTATGCCAATTATTGATTGTTTTCGCTTGGGCTTCGTCCCCTTAGCATATTTTGACGTCCTTGTTCTGATCTTGGATAGATTCGACGCGAGTGGAGGCCGATTCGAGGGGAAAAGGCATTGCAAGCTAGAGATTTGACCGGTTCGAGGTGAGTAATGATTGTAAATAATGTTCTGAGGGTTTGAAACCCCGGATTGCACATCGTAGTGCTATATTGAAGTGAGGCACACGCTTGATGACGAGCGCGGGATCGTGCACTATTGAGGATTGTGACTTTGTCCGTCCCGATTGGTGTTTTACCACGTATTTGACTGAAATCTATTTATTATCATCATTATTTGGGCTGAGAGCTATATTTGGGCCTAGTGCCAACTATTTGAACCCTTCAGGGCTTTTTTTTATATTTCCTCACTGTTTTGACTTATACTTGAACTCAGTCATGTTATTTTTCCACTGTTTTCATACTCAGCCATGTTTACTCGGTTTTAAGACTTAAATGATATTTTAAATGATGTTTGGGTTGAGAAACACTGTTTTACTATTGTCCAAGGAGCTTGTGAGGATATTTGACTAAGGCCGAGGACCTGAGATATGTGTGCCACGAGGTGGCTTGATTGATATGAGGCCGAGGGCCTAGTGATGATGCCACGAGGTGGCTTGATATTGTGCTTGGGCCATAAGGGGCTACTCCAGGAGTCTGCACACCCCCAGTGAGCGCGGGTACCCATTGTGATGTGAGATTGAGCCCGAGGGGCTGGTACTGTTCTAAGATATTACCTGAGGGGCAGATTGTTGATACTATGCCGAGGGGCGAACTTTTATTTGTTTACTTTACCTTAACTGCCTGTCAATTACCTGTTTACTTATTGAAAAAGGATTGTTACTTAACTTTTCACTGGTTTACTGCTTTTAAATGGTTTTACTGCTTCATTATAGAATACCTTGTGCCTTACGTGTTTTCTTACTTTCAGTCGTTATTTACATTTGTTACTCACTGAGTTGGAGTACTCTCTTTACTCAAGCCGCTCCCGAGTGCTGATCCCTCCAGCTTCAGGCGAACATTTAGAGTTCACGAGGTAGCTGTTGGCGTCCGCAACCCCGTGTCTCTACTCCTTTATCAGTTCTATCTTTCTTTTTAGACAGTTGTACTAGTTTATAGACTTAGTGGATTGTATTATGACTTATAGATGCTCATGACTAGTGACACCCCGGTTAGGGTTCTGTATGGGTGTTCTTCCACGTATTTATGCTATCATTTGTTATTTCGGATTTATTTTATCATGTTTAGACTATTCTTAATGCTTAACTGTTAAAAATTGGAAAATAGGAAGTGTCAGGTGGCC